ATCTGGCAAGTCCAAGTGCAGCAGTTTGGAAGTGAGGGAGTTTAACGGATGAGTGAATACCTGGGGGGCATCTAATAAGGCTTTCAACAACTCATTTCCAGGCTCTAGCCTGAATAGCGTTCAGAGTCACAGCTGGGCTGCAGAAACAGAGTGGGAACAACCTCAGTGCTCACTGATGGATTTACTGCTCCCTGCAGGCATAACAGGATGCTGCCGCCAGATTGCACGGGTGTACGCAGCTCCCTTACACTGAGTTTGGAGCAGGGGGAACAGCCAAGACTCCTATGGGCCACAGGCGTGACTACAATAAGCCACTGCTGGGTCATAGCCTGGGATTGAGACCTGCCAGCACAGAGATTGCGAGCCCTTGCACACCCAACACATCCCCTGGTCTCCGACAACCCCTCTAAAGTGCATCCTCGGGGCTGCCATCACCACCATGGCCAGCCTGGAGGCTGGCAGGTCAATGGGCAAATGGCAGGGTAATAAATCTGCTTCCAGAAGTGACGTCCCAAAGGCTGGAGAGAGACCACTGCTGCCCGTGCTCTGGGGAGGACACACGGACGTCTGTTCCACATTCAGCTAGCAAGGAGGACTGCAGACCCTGTCTTGCCTAGGGGTTCATCCTTGGCCTCCCAGCGGGCACAAAGGCAGCAGTGTGTGTGTCCGGGGAGGCAGCCAGGAGCTCATCTGAGAGAAGCCCATTGCAACTGCAGCAGTTTGCACAATGCAGAGCACGTCCCGGCTGCACTCACACGCTGCCTGAGCCATGGCTTGAAAGCAAGGAGTCATCAGTGGGGAACCCTCATTTTGCACTCCTAGAAACTCCCGCACTCCAAGAAGAAAAAGCAGCAAAATGGAACTGTCAGAACCAAGGCCTTCAAGCTGGACATCTGCCTAATGAGACTTTCCTGCGGGATGAAGATGGAGGAGAGGCTTAGACAACCAGGTCTAATGCTAAAAAACCCAGCATGGGCTGTTTGAGCCATCCTGCTTTGGTCCAAGTCTGCAGGGATTCAGGGTTTCAACAGGGAGGCAGACACAGGTGGCTAGTGGACCTGTCCAAGGAGCTAGAGCAGAGGAAATTGCAACCCCCCAAGTGCCCTCAGGTGCCATTCCCAGCCAGTCCCCATCTCCTACAGCAGGCAGGACACAGGGGGCTGCTGGGCTCTGCAAAGCAAATTCTCCTAACGTGAGAGAGAAGGCAAAGGATAATCAACGAGGGTCAAGCGCTGTGCCTGCTGGGTACCTGCCAGATGTAGGACAGCCCAGGAAGGCACAGCAGATGCGCTGCTATTTGCCATGTCCGCAGACCTGACTGCCACGTGGCTCAGTGTCCAGCATGGGCCGAGGCCACTTCAAACCCGAGAAGCGGTCAGGTACAATGTAACTTGCATGACGTGCAGGCAGTGTGGTGGTATGGGGGGATCTTGCTGTATGTGATGCAGGCAAAGCCCCAGGGTCAGTGGGAGGTAAACAGGAATTACCAGCTGCAGGGTCCTGCTAAACAGCCCTGGCCCCGGCTCTTCCCCGGATGGTAAACAGGATGCTGAGAGATCCTGCTGCTGCTGAGGACAAGCCCCGCAGCGGTGAGGGGAAGGGGGTCAGAGTAACCCCCTCGCAAATACGTGCCCCCCACCCTGGTCTCAGTGTCATGAGCTCAGCAGACAGTGTAGGGCCAGAGCTGCCTTCAGAGCAGGGAAGCTCTTCTCCTCTCCAGAGCCACTTTTTGAAAGCTCAGCTGGACCCAGGAGTTCTGGGTCAGGCTAAGGATCACAGAGAAAGCTTTGGAAACTGTTGTGTGCACGTGTTCCCCAGCCGTGGCCCTTTCTGGCATCAGGCAAGGCCCAGCTATTACACCAAACTCTGCTCGGTTGGTGTGATAGCAGTGTAACCCAAAAGCCACTAGTCCTATCCACACTGATCCTACGCTGAGCCACTGCCACCTAAGAGGCACTACTACTTGTCCAGTCTGGGGTCCCGTCACCACCAGTGGCTGGCAGCAGACACCTAGGGAGGCACAGAAAAGGCTGAACACAGCAATATTGCCCTGAATGCATTCCCAGCCTTCAACGACGCACAGTATCTGAGGCTGGAAGCAGCAACCCGACACTCAATAGCCCATTATAGATTTTTTTTTTTTTTTCCTTGGAATCAATCTCAAGCTCTGACCATCCTGCCCTGGATCTTTTCCAGTTCCAGTTAGCTCAAGGCCTTCTGCTGCTCCTCCAATTTACAAAGCGGGGTTAAAAAATAATAATGATAAAATGCAAGCCAACTTGACCAGGCCTGGATAAAGTTTCCATCATTTTCTTAAAGAGGTGACTTCGCCAAGGTAGGAAAAAATAAGTCACAGCCTTGGAGAAGTAGGAAACACCAAGTAAGGTAGCTCTCCCCACCCAGCAGCTAGGGAAATGTGGGAAGGAAGGCCGTTTCAGCCAGACCATTTTATCTCTGGGACCAGATGGTTTTAAATGCTTCCCCAGAACTTGGAAAGGGCCATGCTCTGCTTTGAATTGCTTTTCATACCACCTCATTAGAAAGTAAAAGGGAAGAAATGAACAATCTATAACTTTATGGCATCGGGAAACAGCTCTGTTAATCCCGTTTCCTTCCCTGAGCTTATTCAGGGCAGATCACCCAGCATCAGGGCCACATAGCCTAATCTGCTTATTGTTGCCCTGCAATCAGGAGCCTGGGCACCAGCCCAAATGGCAGCTGCATCCTCCTGGGCATTATTAGTAAGTTGGAAAGGCCCAGGTTGTTAAACCTGACCCCAGTGCTTAATTGCGACGCTCCCAGCACCCAGCTTCTACTTGCTGCTGCAGATCCAAGCAGCGGCCACCTCCCAAACCCAAGCCTGTGGGAGCGAGGGCAAAAGGAGCAGAGCATCACTGGGGGAGCAGACAAGAGAAGGAAGGTGCTGCAGGGAGAGGCACCCTAGGGCAGGCACTGCAAAGCCCAGGGTGGGGTACCTGTGGCACCCGTTGCATCGCGAACAACAGGCCTCTAGGTTTCTTGGCCTGTCTGGGAAAAACGTGGCCAAATCCGACAGGATGCAGAATTTCTCCCTTTCCAGCAGGGCTGGCACCCACCCCGCCCGCACATCTGGGATGGGGAGCAAAGACCTCACCAGCCACTCAGGGCTCAGGGCTTGCTCCCACCTGCTCACAGCTACAGCTCAGCCTGGCTGGTCCACAGGCAACCACTGCTTTACCTGCCAGCATTGCCACCCAGCTGTGTTTTGTCACCTTAGTAAAAACCTCCTGAGCTCCAGAGGAGCCAAACAGCACTGACAGGCCCTCACCCATGGCACCCAGGCTCACCGTGCCACCCAGCCCGCTACCAGCCCTTTCCCTCTGCCTCCCTCTCCCCTAGGAGGACTATGTCTTCTCACAGCCAACCTCCACCTCATGTCCAAATGGAAGGGAAAATGCAGCCTCCTGCTAGAAGATTTCAGGCTCTTTTGGCGCCTGCTTCCGTCAGGGATGGGGGTCCCATGGCAGAAGGCAGCCTCAGGCAACACATCAGGCAGGCAGCATTTGGGGTGTTGGTTGGACCCACAGCTCCAAGGGCAGTAATGGGTGGCTTGGTACGGAGTCAATGGCTGGAGCAGGGTAAAAGTTAAAAAAAATTAATGGGATAGAAAGAGAAACAGCAATCCCTAGCTTAGTTTCTCAGCTGAGGAGTGCCAAATTTTAGAAAACTACTAGCTGCGTACGACAAAGCCAGGTGTCCCCGGTCTGGAGCTACACACAGCTGGCTGTCAGCATTGCTGCCCTGCAGATGCAGCTGGGGACGTGAGCCTCTGGCTGAGTCCAGTGCACCTCTGCCTTCCAGCTGGGCTGAGATCCAGTGATCAACAGCTCCACCATCCATCCTCAAAATGACCTGGCACCCGTAGAGCAGCGGGATTTCGGGGCACTTGGGGAACAGGTGTAGGACGGAGGAGTGGGGAAGGCAGCCAGGGAGCAGCTGGCCCAGCGCAGCCCCACCCAGCCCTCCAGGTGGCCAGGGCCATGAAACCAGCAAAGGTGCTCTGGGGTACACATACAGCCAACCCTCCAGCTGGGGTTGCTGGTCCCAAATGAATCCACAGAGGATGCTGCCCTCTTTTGGGCTCAGTGTGACTCGCTCAGTGTGACATTCGGGGAAATTTGGGGAGGCCCAAGACCAGTGCTTTGGGGGGCTCAAAAGCCCACACAGGGGTTCTCAAATGCAGTGACTTCCCATACCTGTCTCAGTGGACATCCCAGGGACTTCTCCCGCTGAGAGGGTGGCCTCTGTTAGCGCAGCCTGGGAAGGGAAGAGCGTTTTTAGCGGTCAGGAGTGGTCCCTGAAGGACAGGGAGATGCTTGCTGGGATGAAGAGCAAGAAGATGAAGGCCAGGGGCTGGGAAGATCTCCTGGGCCTGGGGAGGACCATGGGGCCCTTACCAACTATGAGAGCTGCTAGCACTTCATTTTAATTAATGATTTTCATAAACTGATTCAGTTGATAGTAGACAAGTTCACAGTCCGTTCAGTTAAGTGAGCCTTCCCAGGGTCCTGTGCTCCCCCAGCAGGCAGCAGTGGGGACCGAGCGCTGCCAAGCCCCAGGGTGTCGCCGAGACGTCCCGGTGCCAGCTGCAGCCCGGGGGCGGCTG